ATCTTGTACATTGTCTGTATAATATTTTACTTATTTATAAAATGTTTTTTATAAATAAATGAAATATTATATATATATATATATAAGATTATAATATATAAGATTATTGATGTTACATTGTATAACTCTCATTTCTTTCTCTCTGCTACATAAGTACTTATGACGTGAAAGAACTTACGAGTAACGTATGATGGCTCAATGCAAGAATATTTAATCACGTAAAAAACTTGAGTTCAAATATATCAATATCAATTTTTTTATAATATATTGGAATATAGAAAATCATAGAAATATATTTTTTATATAGGCGATAAACTTAAAAATTTGATATTGAAAATATTTTAATCATTTTACAACTACACATACTATAAATATATAAATGCAAAATAATTCCGTAAATAATTTCAAGTAATAAATCAATTGCACACATGCACACAGCTGGTATGTAGATTTTTATTAAATTTATTTTCTGAATTATTTTACACTTATATATAGTGTATGTAGTAAAAATATTTTCAATATATTAAAAAATTTTTAAATCGCCGAAATATATTTTTTTATCATTTTCTATATTCTAATATATATATATATATTATAAAAATTGATATTGATATATTTGAACTCTAATTTATATACTGGATGATATACTGAACATCCTTGCATTGATTATACATTACTCAACGTTCTTTCACGTTATAAGTATTTGGAGCAAATTATACAATAGCATCAATAATCAAAAAGAAATCAAGAATATAATCAACATATCCTTATATATATATATATATATATATATATATATATATATATATATATATGTTATATATATACGTTATGCACATATGTGCATAACCATATATACAATTTCCAAAAAGTGGGTGCTTATTAGTCTTGCTACGTTACTGCTTTCTGCTACGGAAGGCCAGAAAGCATTTTCAGGCGGCATCTCGCGTATACCGGCACGGTAGATGAACAAGGAGAACACGTGATTATCGGTCCTTGTCTCTCTTACGTGCGTCCGCGTGAGCGATGCAGTTGGTGTATGTACGTGTACAGACATACACCACTACATAAAACCCGAGAATTGGTTTCTCGGCGTTGGCAACACTGAAACCGGAGTTTCGCGTTGTCACCGCACGAGGTCTCCAATATCAATTCGGAGTTTGCCTGGGTCACAGATTAATAGACAGATCGCCAAAGGCCTGCCTAAAGAAGAGACCGCCATCTTCGTGCGATAGACTTTGCCCCTTACCGACACACTTTGCCCCTGGTTCGAGTCCGTGCTAAATTTCGTAGACTTGAACCAAAAGACTTTGCCCCTGGTTCGAGTCCGTGCTAAATTTCGTAGACTCGACCAAAAGACTTTGCCCCTGGTGCAAGTCCAGGCTAAATTCGTTTGACATTACCAACAGACTTTGCCCCTGGTGCGAATCCAGGCTAATTGATCATGAGACCAATTTGAGAGATTTGGCCCCCGTGTGTGTGTGTGTGTGTGTGTGAGAGAGAGAGAGAGAGAGAGAGAGAGAGAGAGAATATTTTACATATGCATATATATATATATAAAATTTATTAAATATAAAAAATATATTTTTTACACATAAAATGTTTTTTATTGAAATAATCACGATTTTAAATGTGATTAACACAGTGTTCAAAAATTTTTTAATTAAATTTTTTAATTAAATTTTATTAAAGAAAATTACTTGAAATTTTTTACATTAAGAATTTAAAGGCTCCTTATTCTCTTGTAGAAATTTATCACTACGCCAATTAATCACTTATTTGAGTATTTAAAATACTATAATATACAGTAATTTAAGTATTCGAAATAAAAGTGATTAATTACTCGAAATAAGTGATAAATTGGCGTTACTAGTAATAAATTTCTATAAGGGTTGAAATAAAGTATAAGAGATAAATAGGCTATATGTGAGCCGTATGCGAAATGTGAGATGTAAGACGCATATTGAAATTTAATTTTTCGATATAACTTTCAAAAATGTACACGAGGTACAAAAAATTAGCTTGGACATTTGTAAGACTTAAAATTGGGATTAATTCTCAATTCTATTAATTAAATTTCGATATAACACACCTTACATCCGCGCACGGCTCACATATAGCCCATTTATTAGTGCAATTTTTAAGTTCCTTATTTTTCAAAGTTCACCTTTTTACGTTATCAAATATTTTTGGTACGTTTTCAAGAATTTTATATTTTTACTTACCGCAGTTTCTTATCCAAATGTAAAATCTTTTATCGCAGTCTATAAAAAATTGAAACAATTTACAATTTTATGATATAATATTATTATTATTACAATTTCTATATATATGCACATCTGTCAAATATCGTGATTTATTTCACATTATTATTATCTATTTTAATAAAAAAAACAAAAACACTTGCAACAATCAAAAATAAACCGCCTGCCGCGAACGGAAAATGCCAAGAAAGCACGCAATTTCCGCGAATCTCGTAATTTTTTTGAAAAATCAACAATTTCAACGAAATTGTAAATTCTTCAAATCACTGCACAAGTATAATTCACAATAATAATTTGCAGTAACTACAAATAATAAAGTAAAAATATTAAATAATTTATGTTTTCGAATTTTGCTCGCGGAGAGGATCTTTAAAACAAGATTTTTAGAAGAGAGGACCTTTAAAATATAAACAGGCAAAAACGTTGGAAAAATTAAAGCGCGCGTTTAAACAGATAAACGCAATGAAATAAATACGCAATTGTTTTTACTTATCGCTGTAAGCTCACAAGCTTCTGACGTGCTATACACTTTTATATAATATATACAAGGTGTCCGGTAACTAACGGACCAATGATTAAGGGCGGATTCTCTGGCCAATTTGGAGACGATTTTTCCTTAGCAAAAATGTTGAGAAGTCAATAATTTTCGAGTTATAAGCGATTGAAAAAAATAGGTTTTTTGAAAACTAAACGTTTTGGAGTTAAAAGTCTAACATAATTACATTCTTCAGTTAATTTCAGGTAGAGTTTACTATAATAAAATTTTAATTTAAGGCTTAGTTATAAAGATACATAATGACAAAGATTGGAAAGTTGTAAAAAATGATGACCTTTTTCGACATTTTCGCTGAGGAAAAATCGTTCCCAAATTGACCAAAGAATCCATTTGTAATCATTGGTCTGTTAGTTACCGGACACCCTGTATATTGGACACGAGTTTCGTTTGTTTCAGATTCTCGAGAGTTGAAGTAGGAACATACGAGTATCATATATCGTTTGTGACTTGCCGAATGAAAGCAAGACAGAGAGCGAACGAGATGATGAGCTTAATAGCTCATAATGTTATAAATAAATAAATAAAAAATTATAACCTGACCTACTAGTTATTGAATCTTTTTTTAATAAAATGTTTCATTATTATTATCATCTAAGTCTAAGTCGTTTAATTACTTTTTAGTTTTTTAATAATTAATTTAATTTATTCTAGTCATTTTTATATGAGAAAAATAATATCACGTATACGTTTTATAATGAATTAATATATTTCGGGAACCGAATTATATATTCTTAATAATATAAAAGTGTTCAAAAATTATATTTGACTTTTAATTTTAATTATTTTTTAGCAAAGAGTTCCGAAATCTCTTACACACATAATGGGGATTTTTTTCATCCATATAATTCGCAATTAAGTATATATGTTAATTATTAATTTTAATAAAATAAAAATTAAAATTAAAGGTCAAATATAATTTTTAAACACAAATATATTAAATTAATTATAAAACGTATACCCATGATAGTATTTTTCTCGTACAAAAATAATTAGAGTAAATTAAATTAATCATAAAAGATTAAAAATTAATTAAAGAATTTAAACTTATATTTTATATAATAATAATAAAACATTTTATTACGTCAAACCGTCGTGAAATAATTAAATAAAATTTGCTAGTTACGTCAAAGTCAAGTTTTCTAAGCTTATAAAACATTTTATTAAAAAATAGATTCAATAAATATAAGTACATGTTATATATATACTTATATTTATTGAATCTGTTTTTTTTATAAAATGTTTTATTATTATCATATATAATATAAATTATTTAATTATTTTTTATTTTTTTATGAGTAATTTAATTTATTCTAGTTATTTTTGTACGAGAAAAATACTATCACGGGTATACGTTTTATAACGAATTAAATATATTTATGTTCAAAAATTATATTTGACCTTTAATTTTAATTTTGTATTTTATTAAAATTAATAATTAACATATATACTTAATTGCGAATTATATGGATGAACAAAATCCCTATTATGTGTGTAAGAGATTTCGGAACTCTTTGCTAAAATAATTAAAATTAAAAGTCAAATATAATTTTTGAACACTTTTATATTATTAAAAATATATAATTCGACTCTCGAAATATATTAATTCATTATAAAACGTATACGTATTAGTATTTTTCACATATTAAAATGATTAGAATAAATTAAATTAATTATTAAAAAACTAAAAATTAATTAAACGACTTAGACTTAGATGATAATAATAATGAAACATTTATTAAAAAATAATTATAATAGGTCAGGTTAATATTTTATTTATTTATAACATCATAAAATTCTGTCCTTTCCGAAATACGCGAACGCTACGAAAAGATAAATTTCGTACATGCCGCCGGACGAGTTCATGAGCATGAGACGCTCTTATCTTGAGAACGTATTAATAGTTACTGCATTGACCACTACTACGATATGGCGCTGAAATCAGTGAGAAATGCTGGTCTCTCCTTCATCCAGACCTTTGGCGATCTGTCTATTAATCTGTGCCTGGGTGTACTGCCGACCCTTAATCTGTGTCGCTGCCTACCTGTTTGAGAGTCGCCGGCCGAATGACGAAACAACAATTTGTGATGTAAATAATGTCGTGCGTCGTCGAACGCCGAGTTTACACTTATTGTTAGCAATCTAAAATTATTAAAATACGACTCCAATTATGCTTTACTCACCAATTAAATGCGTCGCGATGCAGCATCCGTCTGTCCCACGTTGGCGATGTTCGCGCTACAGATTCCGGTATACAGATACAATGACGACATCAGCGCCACGCTGATTATGCCGGGAAAATAAAGCGCGCGAAGTTTAAGTTAATTACGGCAGCACGCAGTAAAATAATTAAATTAATATTATTATATATTAACAAAATATTACCATTTTAATTTTTGTCATATTAATTAGCAAATTACCGTTTTATTAATATTAATAAATTAAAGCTTTATTAATATTTTTAACAAAAAATTAGCTGTCTTATAAAATTAAAATTAAAAATAATCAATTAAATTAATTGATTGATAATTATTTTTAAAAATTAGCTGATTAAATATGCATTAATTTGCTAATTAAATTTTAAAATGTTTTAAATATTATATTATAATACTTTAAACTTGTTTAATAATTGACAATTATCAGTTGATTTCTGTCAAAAAAATATTAGCAAAGCATTACTTTGCTAATTAAATTTTTTTTAATTTGTTTAAAAATTCTATTAATATTTTTGACAAAAATCAACTGATTAAAACGTTTGCTGATTAAATTTATAATATATAATACTTATATATATATAATTTTTTAATTTGGAAATAATTTCAGAAAACTTAAAAAATTTAATAAATCTAGTTGCAAAAAAATATTCTTTCAACATAATCATGATTATATTATTCATTTTATAGGATTTTTATTAGAATTTATTATTATAATTATATAATTAAATGATTATATCAATATTTATTCATAATACAGTGCAATAATTTATTCGACACAGAGAGCAGCAAGGCAATTTTCTTACTTGAACACCAGTAGCTTTGCAAATGGAAATAAACATGTGTTTGTCATTAGTTTCTTGTTCTATCTTACTGGCTATCTCATGCCCTTTCTTTGTAATAACAGACGGTACACCTGCCAATCGAGCGGCATTGAATCCATAAGATTTTGGGCAAGCTCCTTCACTAAGCTTGTATAAAAACGTCACTGTCTCTTCTGATACGTTTTCTTCTTCTCCTGTTTCAACCATGCATGCCTGAAAAAATTAAAATTTATAAAAAAACATTTTATAAAACACTTTTTAAAAATACATTAAGATTAATAAGTATATGTAATAAAAAATAACAGCATACATAAATAAATATATATTTTTACAATACACAAATATATATTTTGAATAAAAGATTTATATTGTTAGAAATATAAGAGATTCTCACCATATGAGCTAACGTGACCTCTTTATTGGTTTTGTAATCCTCGACCAAAGAATGATAATGAGTGGAAAATAATGTGCGACACTTTAACTTTGTTAATGCGTCGACAACTGCAGCTGCTATTGCTGTACCGTCATAGGTTGACGTGCCACGTCCTAAAATAATAAATTTTTATCAATTTAAAGAATATTTTCTATTAATTTCGAATATTCGAGGAATAAATCTGGTTAGAGGAAGTAATTCTTACCCAACTCGTCGAGGAGAACCAGCGAATAAGACGTAGCGTGTTGCAACATCGTAGCAGTTTCGTTCAGTTCAACCAAGAATGTGCTCTGACCAGTCAAAATATCATCGTTGGCACCCAAACGTGTGAAAATACGATCCACCAATGTTATGCAACACAAACTGGCTGGAACGTAGCTGCCCTATTTATGCAAAAAATTAAATTTACAATTTATACATATTTATAACTTATTTATTCTCATAAAACTTACTATCTGCGCCATGATGGTGATCAAGCCCACTTGACGCATGAGAGTTGACTTGCCTCCCATGTTTGGTCCTGTCAAGATCATAAAGGAGGCAGCATCATCAGTAGCTATTAGAGTATCATTGGGAATAAAGTTATCGGATGCAATACAAGGATGTTTTCCATCTCTTATCTTGATGAAGATCTATAAGAATTACGTTCAAAAATAATTTATATATAAATATTATATATTATTATTATTATAAATTTAATTAGCAAATTAACGCTTTAATCAGTTGATTTTTGTCGAAAATTTTAATAGAATTTTTTAAACATATTATGTTTATTTAATTAGCAAAGTAATGCTTTATTCATATTTTTTGGCAGAAATTAGCTGATAATTGTCAAATATTAAACGAGTTTAATATTTAAGTATTATAATATAATATTTAAAACATTTTAAAATTAGCAATATTTAATCAGCTAATTTGTCAAAAAATATTAATAAAGCTTTAATTTATTAATATTAATAAAACGTTAATTTGCTGGTTAAATTTTATGTCATATTTTCTCGACAAATAAAGAACATTAATAATATTATATATGAAGGTAATGTAAAGATATTAAGGCTCGCCTTTCTAATATCATAACATGGTCAATCAGGAGCCACAGGAGCCTTAATATAAATAATATTAATATCTAATGATATCCTTACTTCACCATCTAATCCGTCATGAATTTCTGGTATACACATATCATCATTTCGAGCGTATTCCGCGAGAGAGATAAGTACATCCATAATGGCCACTTTGTAAATGGCTTTATGCCATGTATCATATTTTTCGCTGAACTTCGCGAATATTCTCCTGTTAAGATCCTTCAGCACTTTATCTCGGTGCTCTTCTGTATTTATCTGTCTTGCTAAAAGCTCCTGCAATGATCAAAATTAGCTTTACACAATGTTAAAAATATTTTATCATGAAAAAAAAGCAAGTCCTTTTTTTAATTACAAGTATAAATTACTATTATTATTATTACCTTTGCCTCAGCAGTATAATAACGTTTGAAACCTTTTCTTTGTGACTGCAGTTCATAGCCGGGACCAACTTTCTTAACTTGTGAATCAGGAACCTCGATTTGATAACGTTTCTTATCTGACCCGTAAAATGTTATTTTGACATCAAAATGCTTTTTTGCTTTTCCAAATATTTGTCTAAATCTTTCTTGTTCTCTGCAAGCTCAGCCAAGACCGAATCATATTCGGCATCTACTCCTTTTTAGGAACAATGCAACCTTGCTTTTTAGCCTCTTCATGATCAAACGCAGTCTGAAATTGTCATAAATACATTAAATAAAAGAGAAATAAGTAATTGGAGGGAAAAAAATTATTGAAAATTAAAGTGCTACCTTAAAGTAATCCAATGTTTCCTGCAAATGAGGGAAATCACCATCCGGCTCGTATCTGGTACAGCGATTTATCAGATTACTTTTAAAATCTGTAAAGAATAATCATTGAATCATCATGTACAAAATTTGCAATGTATAAAAATATAATAAACGTACCATTAAACAGTTCAACAAATTTTAAAACTTCTTCAAATTTAGCAAGTGTTGTGGTAAACTCTACAATTATTCTTTTCGAATATATTGGGCCTTCAAACATTATGGCTCTGCCATCAGGATGATTTTTCATTCTAGCTGCATTTCCCTGAGCGTGTATTCTATATTAAAGCAGGATATGTATAGTGTCTCGTATAAATTGTTAGTCGTTTTCTAAACAACTATTAAAGCTAAAAACTAAACTTTTAAACCAAGTGATAATATAAGGCCAACTTATCGAGCTGAATATTCGAGATGTTCAGTCAACTACCATTTATTACATGTATAAATTATAAAACTACAGTCATTATATTATTAAAACTAACGCAAATTACGCAAATTACAATCATTCTATAAACGTTTCGACCGCACGCGTCTTCTTCAGTATAATTATTGAAAAATAAATTCTTACAATTCACATGATATCGAAATTTAATTATAGTTATTCAGAATCGAGAGTTTTTGAGCAATTAACGCGTGTTTCAATCCGTCCTGTCCAACAATGTTCGCCTCGATATGATCTCTGATTTTGTTCAGATCTCGGATGATTTCATCGTTAATATGCGAGAAATTAACCCGTACCGTAGGCGCTATCATCGTTCTCTTGACAATTTTGCTACTTATTAACAGTTATTAAGGATGACACTTAACAAACAACAATACAGAAAGACAGCTCATTTAAACTCAGAGTTTAAAATGAGCTGTCTTTCTGTATTGTTGTTTGTTAAGTGTCATCCTTAATAACTGTTAATAAGTAGCAAAATTGTCAAGAAGAACGATGATAGCGCCTACGGTACGGGTTAATTTCTCGCATATTAACGATGAAATCATCCGAGATCTGAACAAAATCAGAGATCATATCGAGGCGAACATTGTTGGACAGGACGGATTGAAACACGCGTTAATTGCTCAAAAACTCTCGATTCTGAATAACTATAATTAAATTTCGATATCATGTGAATTGTAAGAATTTATTTTTCAATAATTATACTGAAGAAGACCGCGTGCGGTCGAAACGTTTATAGAATGATTGTAATTTGCGTTAATTTGCGTTAGTTTTAATATAATATAATGACTGTAGTTTTATAATTTATACATGTAATAAATGGTAGTTGACTGAACATCTCGAATATTCAGCTCGATAAGTTGGCCTTATATTTATCACTTTGTTTTCAATACACGAGCGACAATTTGTATTAATTTAAACTTTTAAATCAAAAACTATTGTATTAAGATTTTAACTTTATTTTATCTCTATAATAATTATTATTATTAAAGTATTGTATGAAAATTGTAAGACACTTTATATATATTTAATAATTATTATATATACATGCATATATATATATATATATATATATATATGCATGTATATATATATATATATATATATATATATATATATATATATATATATATATTATAAATTGGTATATATAAATATTAATATATAAATTTCTAAAATCTATCATTGCCTACCAGTAAAAGTAAAATTAAATTTTCTTGTAACTTACTTGCTTAACAATCTTTCAAGATCTGGCAGAGTTGACAAAATTGAGCGAGCTGATTGTATCACGTCCACTCGATCTACCAATTCCTGCACAGCTTCCTGACGTTCCATTATAATATTTTTGCGACAAGATGGCCTACAGATCCATTCACGTAACAATCTGAAAAGAATATTTCATGTATAGAAGAAAGCGTATAAAAATATACAACATATACAACTTTTTATCTTATTTACCT